CCGTCCGGGGATTCGAGACGAAGTTGGCCCACAAGAAGGCGGTAATGAGAACCCGAACCCAAGCATCATTGCAGAGGCAACTCCCCATGATTTGTGTGGTATGGCCCAGTTTTGGGAGAATCCCGCTGCCCCTCCATCCTACTGTGTAGAGGAATCCTCTCGTAAGATACGAACCCTCTTGGCTATGGCACCCAACCAACGGCTGATTGTCCGCAGGTTGAAAAGCTCACCAAGCAGCTGGGCAGATCCAACCGCGAGCTGCAGGAGAAAAGCGCGAGTTGCTTTTGGCACAGGGCGCTATTTTGGGGGTTGCACCCCTAGAAGGACTTAGACTTACACCCCAGGGTTGGTTCGCGCAATCCAATAGATTCAATAGAACCTTTGTGGCTATGACATTTAATGGCGGCCAGCTTTCAATCGAGAAGCGGCGGTGGAGGCAAAAGACCAAGATCGGCGGGTTCGCACATTTTGACGCATCCTTTGTTTGCAAGTGGCTATGCAGAACGATTCGCTTCATGTTTGATTCGCTTTAATCCCCCCCCACCAAAAAAAAAAAAAAAAGAAGGAAAAAAGCAAAAAAAGCAAGAAGACAAATCAAGTCCCCACCCCAGTGGCACACGGCCGCGTTTGGGATCCTGGCCGGATGCTGGTCGAATTAGGGGCGTGCGTAGGGCCAATCATAGGGGAGCCCGCGCTAAGAAGGCTCTCGGAACCTTTCCTGGGTTGTGGGGGGCAGCCTTTGCTTTCCTTCCTAGTGTGGTGGGATAGTGGCGTGTCGTTTCGGAGGGGTCCCCCCTACTCAACATCCCACAGCCCAAAACACGCGTCGTTTCCCCACCTGGCCAACTCTCAATCAGCGCTCGCGTCAAACTTTTGTTGACTGGTTTATTCATCATTAGCCAAGGCCCAGCAAGTTTAAGCTTTCCCTTCCAGTTAACTTACAACTTTACAGGTTGGCGAATAGTGCACATGGCCGATCAAGATGTATTGCCTGATTGATGAGTGGCAGCACCCTTCCACTGCAACCGTGCTGCAACCCTTTGCCCACATGACAACAAGCCCAAGAAAGCGCCTTTTGAGTTGGACGTTGTTTTCTGCTAGCTAATGCGGAGTCCGTTTTTTTGAATAAGCAAAATATGTTCTTTTCAGCTCACGGCCCCGCTCGTGCGCGCGTTGAACGCCCCGCAGGAGTCCTTGCAGAACATGCACAGCATTCGCTCCGAGACCAGTGAGGACACGGCAGTTTTGGTGCTCCCGCGCCGTTTGGGCTCTTTCCGTGTGTTGGAACCATGGTGTTGGTGTTGCATTCTTTTTGTATGGTCCCCAAGCGGGTTCACAGGCTCGCTCTGTGATCGCTGGGTCACAAACTGCTTGCAGACCTGGGCAGAACATCCCGGCTTTTGAAGCTTGCTGCTGGTGCTAGCACGCACCACCAAAATGGGTGGCTGTCCTTTGTTTCCCTTCAAGCCAACCCCAAAAAGGGCACTGAGCCTCAACAAAAGGCGCGCCCCAAAAGAATTTGCATGTGGCAAAAACGCCTGGTGCTCATGCGCCCTGGGCGCTCTCAGTTTGCGTTTGATAGTAGTTTCTTTCCCTTCTCATGATGAACCGTTTCTTGCAACTAAGTGTGGGACATGGCTTATGTTTCATTCTTTTTCTTAGTGAGCCACAAGGGATGGTTAAAAAGCCGGGGTCAATTCCCTCATCCTTTGCTGAGATCCTGGACCTTCTCCTGGCCAAAGTCTCCGAAGCTCACGCTCAGGATCTCGAGGCGGAGCGGCGCCGCAGCAGCGAGTGGCAGGACGGGGAGGGGGGGGGAGGGGGGTGTTGGCATCGTTTTTGTTCTTCTTCTTCTTTCTTCTTTTTTTTCCGTCTGTTTTTTTTTGTCCTCCTCAAAAAACACAATATATATATATATATATGTCCCGTCTTTGTTTTTCAAGCACATGAATATATGCGTTTATTTGTCGTGTTTTTGAGCGTAGCCCTTGGTTGGTGGTTTTAAAGGGAATCAACAGGAACACCCATTATCTTGGATTCTTTAGAGGACAGACGCACACGCAGTCACATACAAGCATCTGGAAATGCATATAGATATTTGCACACATATGTACATATTGTTTGCAGTGTCTTTTCTAAGCCATTAGTTGAAGCGGAACAACTCCATTTGGGACCCCGGTTTAGGGATCCATGTTGATTTGCAGGGGTGAGAGCCAATAGGCACGGGACGCGGGAGGGCGATGAGGTGAATGCAGTTGTTTCCGCACCGGCTGTGGTGCGGCATGAGAACACAACAAACGCTGACGCTGCTCCAAAACAGTTCCCCCTATGTTGCCACCTCCCAAGTTCGATGTAATGCTTTTTTTTTTTTTGGGGGGGGTTCGGCATGTCATTGCGACGTATGCGAATGGGTTCCAGGGGCCTCTCGCGTGCACCCAGGACCGCTGCGACATGTTGCGGCGATCCCTGGATGAGCGTCACTCGGCCTTAGAGCCAAGGCCACGGTCCACAAAAGTTACCATGGCACTTCTGGCGATGGGGTGGGACTAAAAACCATGAGCCACGCTTCGACCAGCAACAACCATAAAGCAACCAGTGTTTTGTAGCGTTTGGACCAAGAGTTCACCGAGTGCTTGCGCAGTAGTTTTCTGGCAATGTCTCCAGGCCTACTACGCGTACCAGTGTTTACCCCTGAAGAATCGGATAATCGGCCTGGCAGATTGATTATTAGGGTGGATGTCCCCTACAAGCGGGGAATCCCCTCCACAGTGGGTTACAAAAAGACAACCTGGGGATGAACTTTTGAGTTCCCTGTATTCCCCTTCCTTCAATGTTGCTTGCTTTTTTCTGTTGTTCACTGCCAGTTTTATCGCAGCAAAACGAGTTTGGGATCCCTTTCTTCAGGCGGCAACAAAATGTCAAGAACCCGAGTTCCCAACTTGACTCCTACATCTTTTCGCTGAGGACTCCAGAGGACCACATGGCTATGAGTCAAAAAACCCGGGTGCCCCCCCCTACACCGCAAAGTCACTTCAAGAATGACCCAAACAACAGGGGGGGGGGGGTACTCGAAAAAGGCTATTCTGGGTTTGGACCCAATCCCAAATCACTATAGTTGAAGTGTTGGCAAACTACCTTTAATAACTACGAGCTAATAGTACTACTAGAAAGGATAGAGGAACAAATATGGGTAATGTCAGAATAAGATACAATCAAAATTGGGTAATGCCAATATGGGTATGACATTGATAGGTAATCTAATACAATGTCAAACAGGCAATCCCCTCTCAGAGGACTCTGGGGTCTCAGCGCGTCACTCTTGAGATGCGGCGCTGAGGCGAGGGCGCCGCATCGCAAGAGCTCAAGGCTACGAGGCGGCGCTTGTCCGAGGCGGAGAACAAGGCTCCGCTAGAGGAAGGTTTGGCGTTTTTTTTTTTTTGGGGGGGGTTCCTCCAAAACTATCTTATTTTTTGGGGTGCTATATGAAGCATCATTTTCTGTTCAAGGGCAGAAAGCAGCAACTTCTGTGATACCAAAATGGAAAATGGATGGGATTCGCATCTTTTGGCTTTGTCACTTTATATGGGAGGTGCCAACCTCAAATCTCGTTCTTCACGGGCACGCCCCGCCCCTTAGGAAATGATTGGATTGGGGCCATTGCCCTCTCTTGTTTGCTGGCTTCACCAGCCATAGTTCCGCCTTCACGGCCTGAGCTGCCAAGTTGACTGGCCAGAAACAGTTTTGACTTTTGACCCATTGGGCGCCTGATTTGAATGAGGAGATCGGCGAAAACATAATGAAAGCTTGCTAACTCAACAACTTGATGTCGAACATCGAAGCAACCCCAAAAGAAAGGCAGCCCAAACATCGCTAGGTTCTGCATGCGTTTGCAGGTGCAACACCTGACCTCTGAGATGGCAGGCATGCAGGAGGCCGGAGTTTTGAGAGCGTAGCTGGTCCTTGGCGGATCTTGAGAAACATGCAAATCTATAGCGCATCTGTGGGACGACACAGGGTGTGCCTGCCAAGTATATAAGTTACGACTGTATACAACAGTGGCAAAAGCCGCCAGATCTTTTGAGCACCCTTTGCTTTGGGGAGGTTGTTTCCCACTTCCGTGCTATTTTTGCCCCTAAATTGCGGAAAGGCTGGAAAGACCCAGGCCATTGCCCAAATGACCGTGGGTCAAACATATGTACCCAATATACCCTGCGGTCCAATTCCTGGTGGTCTAATTTTGGACCCACAGCCACATGGCTGCCTCCCCAAGCCCTGGCTCCGAGCTGAAGCCCCGAAGCCCCGAGGCACGGCTGAAGCCCAAGGAGAGTCAGGAGCTGCTGGCGCTGAAGTCGCAGCTCCAGCAGATGGAGGCGGTCGAGCCGCGAGGGGCGCGCAAGGTCGAGCCGCGCATTGGAACACGACGCCGCGTTTGGCGCCCCGTTTCGGGGTGCCCGAAATGAAACCCCGGGGAGGGGGGGAGAAACTTTTGTGGTCGTGTTTGGGTGTTGGGCTTTTGGAGCGCGTGTGTTTTTGTTTCTCTTGGTTGCGATGCGGGGGGCCCGGAGATTTCTTTGCGCTTATTCATCTTAGTTGCCCATGGGGAGGCATACGTTGCGCAGGCCCAATGCGCCCAAGCTTAGATGGACTTTTGGCAGTCAAAATTATACAACTGAGCAATAGTCAATACTCACCGTCCTCAGATATTTCATTCGATTCAACCAAACCGAGCAAGGTGGAAGAAGGACCAGGACTCTCTGGCTTTGGTTACGACAGGAGGTGGAAACCCTGCCTCCTACAAAATCGGCACTGAAGCCGGTCACGGTCTTTTTTCCAATGTCCTCCCTGCTGACTCCTGCAGGTCAACATGGAGCAAACGCTTGTGTGGAGGTAACCAAGCCTTCCGAAAGCCTTCTTTGCACTCCCTGAGTCTCTCACAGCACCCCCCACTCCACACCCCACACCCCACACCCAACCTCCGACCCAAATCAAGAACCCCCCCCATTCAGTGCGCGATTTGGTGCGAAATCCCATGGCGGGCTACCGGAAGCTGGAGGATCTGTCGGACCCTCCGTCGCTTGGTCTGCGCCTGGCAGTGGTGGGCTCGGCCATCGGGTGCTGCGTCAGCTGCGCGGGCCTCGCCTTCGGGTTCAGCGCGCTGGTGCCGGAACTGCTGGAGCTGGGGGCCTTCCACGAGGAGATTCTTGGGGAGAGATATGTCTACATACATATTATATATATATATACACATCTTTAGATAGAAATATATACACAAATCTCCATATGTGTCTACAAATGGATATATTCTTTACACATATGCACGCAACCGTACACACATATATATGCACATATATGTATTACATATTTGAACGGGACACAAACTGTTTCGGGCCGGGGCGTGGGGGCTTGAACATTAGGTGCGTATGTGTATATTATTGTTTTTGTTTTTGTGGAGGACGACTTGAACAGACACCTCTTTGGCCAGGTGTACGTTGCTTTGGCACTTGTGGCCGGTTTTGAGCATGACAACGATGATCCCCCTCCAACTTGCCCGCTACTTGTAGCGAGTACGCTGGAAAAGTGTGCGTGGCCGGCTCAAGTTTGGTTTTTTGTCAGGTGGAAGGAAGATGTCCCCAACACAGCTGTGCCATTTCGGGATGTTCTTCCAGCTGGTTCACCAAGATCAAACCTGAAGGTGTCAGGGTTCCCAACCTCCGGCCTGGAGGAGTGTCCATCCTCGGGGGTGTGCCACCGCCAAATCACTTCGTTGACTGGCGCCTCAAGATGTGCGGGGGAGGGGGGACGGGCTGCTTGTGGGCTACGATGCCAGGCTATGCTTTTTGAAATGAAACTCTTCATTGCTATTTGTGGAGAAAGATGGGGGGTCACTGGCTTTCCCTTCCAAGCCTTCTTTTACATGAATCACATGTAGGTTTCCAAATCCAGAAGAATCAGGTGAGGTGATGTCAAAGCCGATGTCAAAGCCGGCAGGGAAAATGCCGTCTACGCATCTTCAACGCGGTTGGTTTCCTAGTGGTTTTCGGTTCCTGTTTTGACGCACCAGCCACAGTCCAACTGGTTACTTGGAGGTCAGCAAGGGCGATCGCCAGGCGACTGGACAATCATCACAAGCCAGCCCACACAAGCAGGCAAGGAGGGGTCCCTGTATTTTTCCTTTTTTTCCGGATGGTTTAAGCAACATGAGTTTTTTCTCTGAAGGTTGGACATCGGAACTCTTGCTTTTGCTGCTCCAACAAATTCTTTCCATTTTTATTGAAGGGAATCCCAAGCAGATGAAGCAAATTCCCAAGATTGAACCATCCTTTGTGGCTTCCAATTCTGGGGTTCCAAACAAAAACTGGCGGCAATCCCAGCAACCCGCAAGCCCCCTGGTAACTCCCGGAACTGAGGGCTCTTCACCACGGCCACCAGCCTGCTGAACCTCGCGGCGCTGCCCTCCGGGTTTCTGCCGCCCGGCGCATCCGCCAAAACTTCGACCCCCGAAGTGGCAAAAGGGAAGATTCGTTGCAGCCCCCAAGGTTTCCGGAATTCGAGCAACGTGCTTTTTGTGCAAATTGTTTCTTGTTGAGTTTCAATATTTCGCGTTTGATAAATCCGAGGCAACACTACCTTGGTTTTTCGTACGCCCAGGCTGGACTTATGGGGCCCCCGCCGCTGCGGCGCGCTCTTCTGCGGTTTGGTGGCCGCAGGGTGCTGGCGCTTCGGCGCCGGGAACTACCAAAGCGGCTTCCTGGCCCTCGCGGCGCCTCGGAGCGCATCGAGGGCGTCAAGCCGAATCGATGGGAGGATTTGCCGCTCGTTGAGTTTCGCGTGGAGGGAAAGATTCAACACATGTGGCTATGGCACCTGATCGGGGGGGGGGGGTTAAACAGTTAGAGACATGTTTTTGCGTTTGTTTGTTTTTTTTGGGGGGGGGTTGGTGCACAGTTGCCACATGTTCAGGAGGAACATCGCCTTCCTAAGCTCAGGTTGAAGTCCCGTTTCAACCTTCGCAGCAGCTAGGCTTAATTTGCTTCCAGGTGGCAGGCACCGGCTTGCCCAGCCCAACGGGAGGTCAGGCGCAGCCCTTGCCTAGGCCTACCGACCCAGGCCTACAGAAAACATGCATAGGGCTTGCAGCGCAGGTTAGAAGGAAGACTCGAGAATGGCTTGGTGACAGGGTATATTTGGTGACATTGTTTTCCAGCCCCTTCGCCAACTCTTATTGCAGCCACATGATTTAACACCTCTTGGTTTTCATTGTGAAACGAAGCAGGTCAGGGGTCAACAAGAAACGGCTCACAGATCTGTCGTTGATGACATTGAGCTGCGTGCAATCAATTGAGCTGCTTGCACTCAGGTGGGCGGCCCCTGCATCTTCAACTGCACCTTGAGCTTCGGGAACCTCTTTCCGTCCCGCTGCCCGGTTGTCCAGTAGCAATCTGAATTTGGTTGCTGGTCTTCGGGCGGTATCCCTGCTTTTCCCTCTTCAACCAACAAAGGACCATGTTGTCCCTGGCGATGTGTTTCCCTTTTTTCCGGGGTTGGTAGAGGCCAATTTGTTTGGTGTCGTCTTCGGTTTTCTTTTGTGCGCTTTTCACCTTTGCAGACAGAGGGGGGCAAGTTCATCTTTCGTAGCTAGGGGTCTCTATTTTGCTTCAAGAGATCACGTTTTCTGGAGTTTTGGAACCTGGTGTTTTCTCTTTTGATGATGTCCATAGGAAAATGCACATGCCTATATGTCAAATGAGTGGTTTCCAACCCCCAACAGGGTAGCCTCAAAATTTGGGCAACCATGGAGAGGCCCACTAAACAGCCCACATAACGAGATTGGACTCTGGCATGTACTTGCAATAGCTGACAAATGCAACAGTTAACCTAGTGTCGTATGTTCCCCGTTATGCAATATGCGCCAGGTCATGCTGGTACTTGCCTTGCATACTTACTGTGATTCTGCGATTAAACAGTAAAGATGCATGTATGCAACGTTGCGCGAATCCAACCCACCAATTGAGGGCAGCTTATATAGGGTGGATCGAGATCAGATTCGAGGCAAGTATATTTGGTTTCTCAAACGCTGGAAAAGCAATTTTTTGGATGGTGTTTTAAAGTTTTATTTCCGTCAAAGGGAAGCCAAAAGGAGACCAAGTTCCCCGACTTTGAGCAACACTTGTTTCTTTGTTTTGGTTTTTACTGCGCCAGGCTTGCCTTATGACAGTTGTAGTACATGGGGCCTTTTGATTAAAACCTTTGCAGCCAAGGGCCCAAGCGGTCAGCTCGGGGTGGGTCTGTGGCGCGCTGCCTGGGATCGGATCGGAGGCTGCGGGCTGGTCGTGGCGGCGCTGGTGGGCGCCTTCGACGCCTCCAGCGCCGTCTTCGCGGGGCTGGCGCTGGCCTTGGGCAACGGGGCCAGCTTTGAGAGGAAGCGGCGAAAGAGGGAGAGAACACAGAAAGATTTTACAACGCAGACAAAGGAGAAGATAAAGAAGAAGAAGAAGAAGAAGGAAAGAAGAAGAAGAAGAAGAAGAAGAAGAAGAAGAAGAAGAAGAAGAAGAAGAAGAAGAAGAAAGAAGAAGAATAAATAAAAGTAAGACAAAGAAAGAAGACAAAATCGGACAAAAAGAAAGCAGACAAAGAACGACAAAGAACGAGGAAAGACAAAGAAATCCAAAACAAACGCCGCCAGGATCTTCCGGACCTACGCCGGGGTCCCCACGCTGTGCGCGGTGGCTGCCAGCCTGTGCTGGCCTGCCTGGCCAGTGGCGCTTCCAGAGAACGAGCCACGCGAGAATGAGCCCGTCTCTGGCAAGGAGTGGGTGAAGGGGTGGGCCCTTCCAGACAAAACATGCAGCCAGGTGCATGCTTTTGTTTGTTTGGCAGGTTGTTCTGGGAGCCCTGGCGAGGGAATGTGAACTAGAACGCCACAAGGATCTGTGGGCTCTTCAGCTGATCCTTCAGCTGCGTATGCGCGGTGCCCAGATACACTCTTTGCCGTTTTAATGCGGAGTTCTTCTACCTTGTTTCGTGGGGACGGCAGTGAATGAACCCTCGTGGGTGCCAGAGGATTTGCATGTCCAGAGTCAGCAATTGCTATTTTCAAGTCCTTTGGGCAATTCGCTTTCGACATCAGGCATGTGTCGAAACCCAGCAAGTGCCGCTTGTGACAAAGCCCCAGAAAGCGTGCCAGGCCCGCAACTCGGGAACTTCGGCAAATGACAAGCTGGGTCACAAATTCAAAACCATGCCAGCGGTGCTCCAATCAGCCCTTGCTGGCCACCAGTGATTGGTCCTCCCCATGCAGACCAACACACACCAAAAAAACACATCGCCAAAGAACGGAGCACTTACTAAACCGTGCACATCCATTGAACCGTACATGGGTTTGTTCCTAAATCGGTGGGTGAAACAATAGCAAGGATGGTTTGTTTTGCACTTGGTTCCCTTCAAAAAGCTCCACAAACCAGTTTTTTCCCACTGGTTTCCCTCAACAATCACCTAAACAAACGTTTTGGTTTTCCATCAAAAGAAGGACGCGTCCATATCTCTCACCGCCAGGAGCTTTGGCGCATCTTGTCGAGCGCGGAGTTCGCGCTGCTGGCATACACTGTGTCCGTGTCCATGGTGCCCTGGCGGCGATTTGTTTGTCAGATGCAATCTGCACCTAGCCAATTCTAGCAGTTTCTTTCTTGAGTTCATCTTGCCAGAAGAGGGAACAAAACACATGCCAGCTCCAGATTGCCAAGCCCGTCCTATGACTGCGGAGGTGTTGGCTCCGAAAGGAATTGATTCCCATAAAAAGGGGGCACCCCCTAATAGTCAACCATTTATGATTCCGGGTTCCCATAACAAATCATCAAAGGACTGTATCTTTCTTAGGGTTGCCTTGAGATGGTCTTTTGGCCTGCGGGAAAATCAGCGGGTTGCTTTCCACCTGGAATGTCAGATAACATTTCATTTTTGCTTGGCGGTGGGAAGGTGAAAGGCCTCTTCCACCTATAAGGTAGTCGAGCACCATTGACCTACAAACAACCCGCTCGGTCTGGGCCCCTGGAGTTTGGTGGGGGCGCATTCCCATGGCACCTTTGGGTGCCTTCACCTCAAGAGACAAAGCTATAGGGGTCGTCTCGCATCAGCCAGGTGTGCATCAATTTCTTCATTGCCACAGTGTACCCGCAGATGCTCTCAGTGACGCCAGAGGAGGCCACGGTCCTCAACAGGGAGTTCGCATGTCTTCTGCCGGCGGGAGGTATCGTTTTCATCCCCCTCATCGGTGCCATCATCGACAGGCAAGGGCGCATTGACGTGTTTTTCATGGCCGTCAAATTGACAAAGTCGGTTTGGGGGTGCCAAGGCAGCCAGGGCTGACTTTGATGAGTGTTGGAATCCCCCTCCTTCAGGTTGGTCGGAGTGAGGGGTGGTAAAAAGGAGTCGTGGGAAGCTCGCTGTTTCGGGTGTTATTCGGCCCGCGGTCACTTGAACAGATACGCCTTGTTTGAAGCATGACCTTTTCCACAGAGCAGAAGCAAGCCACATGTTTTTTTTTGCGGGAGGGGTGTGGTGGAAGTGTTCAGGCGGATGTAGCATCAGACCCCCCCCCCCCCCCGGTTCCCGATGAGAAGAAGTAGGCTGGGCCCCGCGGCGGGCTATGTGATTTTGCACTCGGTGTACCTGTGCTTCGTGCTGCTCCTCGCCGGCTTCCACCTGCGTCTGGGGGGTTTGGCGCTGCCGCGCCTCGCCTTTGCGGCTCGCACACAAGAAGGGGCGGCCGGACGCGGCTTGAGACACTTGGGTTTCACACAGTGTTGTGGCAACCAAGGATTACCTTGGTCGTGGGTCGCCTGATCTTCTCTCGCAAACACTGAGCAAGCCACGTTGGGGTAGAACTCCGGAACGTGCAAAAACGATGATCACAGGGGTCGAACTTTGGTTTTTGCTTCTTCCGAGGTCCTTTTCGCGTTGGCACGGCCCTTGTTCTACGCGTTGAACGCCGCCTTCTGTGGGCGAACCTTTGGGTTCCGCTGTTTCGGCACCGTCTTTGGCGTGCTGATGACCTGGGCAGGGCTCTGCTGCTCGAACTGGAACGGGTCCCGGGGGTCGGGTTTGGGAGCTGGGTCCAGTCGGAAAGTCACCTTTTACATTTTACCAGCAGACTCAGGCGATAGCAAGTTGTGTTGGGTGTCTCCCTCAATGGACCTGTTTCTGCGGGGGTTTGTGTTTGAGGCCAGCCTCGTTTCGCGCTTGGCTCAAAGGCAAGTCCACCAGCACCCGTCCCAAAAAACTTCCCCACCCCGCCCCGCTCCAAGAAACCCGCCCCACTAATGGGTAGTGGGGATTTATGACAGGGGAGGGCGGGGGGGTTGTTTCCTCCCCTTGCTCTTACTGGGACGAGTAAATCAATCCGGGGTCAACCTTGCTGAAGGCAACTTCCTGGTGCAGCCACTGGCCTCCCTGGGTGCCGCTTATGGCTTTCTGGAGGAGCCCCCTCATCGGTTGTCGGGGTGGGCATGACACCAGCGGAATGAACACCCCCCTGGAAAGATCATGGACCCCAGCAAGAGGACCCGGGTTCCTTAGGGTCAGTCATCTTCCGAAACCTTCCTCTGAGCTTCCATGATTGAAGGGAGGGTAAAGCCATGGTGCGCGCCTGTGTGTGTGTGTGTGTGTGTGTGTGTGTGTTGCCCCCTTCGAATCAAGATGGAGTCCAACTGCCATGATTGTTGAGGGAGCGTACCGCCTGAAAAAGGTTCCAAAGATTTGTTGTAACTTTCAGACCTGCAACCGGTTGTGGTTTGCACCCGAAGTAGATGGCACAATGCCCCCTTTGAATATCTTGCCCTTAGGCAACTCAATTCAAATTGGCAACAGAAAGCTGGTTCAATGCCACCCCTCAAGGGAGGACTCATGTCGATTTCTGATTTACACACCAGTTCATTTCTCAGATATAGGGAATCGAGTTTCCGGAGTCAGTGTCTTGGAGCTGGTGTCTTAGAAACAGATTCCCAATGCACTTTCCATCATGCCCCATGAAACGGCTTGTTTTCTGGAAGGTTTCCCTGTAAAACACCCACATCAAAAGGACCCTCATGTTCAGCCTGGAAGAAATCCGTTGGCACAGGTGAACCTGGCCCTGGGTTTGGGTCAGCTCACCGCGCTGGCGCTGCCTTTGTATATGGCCGTTTTCAGCGACTCGGTTGGTCGAAAAGCCTGGAAAGGGGTTGTTCATGTTTTCTTCTGGGTTGCCCAACACTTAACACCAATCCTTCCTTATTGTTGCAGCTTCCTCATCCTTAAAGAGGTTGGTGTGTTTGTTTGCTTCTCGTCTGGGTTGTTCAAATCCAATCCTTGGATGGTAGTAGTTTCCCTCTGCTGTAGTGGTGTCCCGCCTGCGGGTTCCCTATACTTCCCTTTTTGGTGGTTTTAAGCATCACCTTTTGGGCCCGCAAAGGGTGAGTGTCCCCTGCTGTTGGGTGATGTTTTAAGGGGAAATGCAGGGATCTCTGTGGCAGTTGGGGTTCGACCAACCCAGGAGAAAGGCCCAAGGCGCGGTGGCGAAACTGCGGGGAAGCGGGTGGCGGGCCACCGGCGCCGACGCGCTAGCCTGCGGTGTTCGGAGGTTCCGACCCTGTTCTCGCCATAGTTTCACAGTTGCTATGCCCGGCATGTTAGCCATTGCATTTCCCTGTTGATTTGCAGGATTTCCTTGTGAGTCAAATGATTTTGGATACATCTTGTGGGCAAAATGGGAACGGACAAGGCCGGATATGTTGTATCTGTGTTGGTTGCCAAACCCTGGAGGCAGCGGAGGGTGTCATCGTGCGGCGGGGCCTGTCGGTGCGCAGCTTTTCCACCCAGCTCTGAACGCAAGCTGAGGGCACGCAGCTGGGCTCATGACTTCGCAGCGTCGGGGCTTCGCAAGGCTTCTGAGCTCAGCGGACATGTGGCAAAGGGCGCGGCAATTTGGCGCGGCACTGGGCTCAGGTTCGATTGGACGGAACAGGCTGCTCCTTGGACTTGCTCGGGCAGACGCGGGCGCGCTCGCTTGCCTATCCTGGAGAGGGTTCAAGTCGCTGACAGAGCCAGAGGAGCCGCCCACAGAGACCAAAGGAGCTAATTTGTGCCGCTGCGAGCGACTTGCGTGTGTGTGTCTGTGTGTGTGTGTGTGCCGTGCCGTGCACCCTGGAAAGGCATAATTTAGCATGCCTTGTGAAGTTTGCAGGGTACTCTTTCGTTTTTCCTCGAGGGCGACCAGAAGCAAAATCAAACATCTTTTTGGGTTTCCTACTTTAAGACGCGTCCATTCCAACGGCGCGGCGCGAGCCTGGGACCTAAAATTGCTTTGCTTCCTGGACCTACTGCCACCTAGTTTGGACCCACCGACCAGGAGGCTTTTGGCCACTTCCCCGCCCTCCATGACAGTTCAAACATCTGGGGTGTCCCAGCGACCTGTGGAGGTTCGGGCCCAGAGGCTTCACAGAGATTTCAGGGGAACAATCTCGCGCGTGGCGGAGTCTATTTTTTTCCCCCCTCTGATCAAAGTCAGAATCTGTTTTTTCCTGAACCTACCAAGGGCGTGACTTTCATGGTAACATACTATCCAGTTCATGACTTTGATGGTGGCGCAATGGTCATCAAAAACCGGCCAGCTTGTCCGTGCCGATGTCTGGGCTCCCCGCAGTTCCGACTTTAAACATCTCTTCTAAGGGCATTCACTTCATCGAAATCGCCTCAAAGGGGAAACCAATAACATAGGTATACAGGCTTTTCTTTTTGAGGGAACCCTTTTTCTAGCTGGTTTCATTAAAGCCAAAAAGAACACCGGGGCTGGGCCCAACCTCCCCCTCCCCCTCCCCTCCCCCCCCCCAATTTGGACGAGTGCCATCCCCATGGCAGGGGCCGGACCCGAAATTCTGACAGGCGGAGGTGGTGCTGCGCCGGGAGCGCGCCGCGGCTGCGGAGGCGCAGCTGGCGGACCTGGCGGCGGAGCTGGGGGCGGCTCGTTGTTTCGGTTTCCTTCGGGGCGGCCGGGGTGGGTGGGGTGGGTGGGGGGGGTGGGGGTTGGTTTCTTCCATGTGCTTCATGTTTTATTTGTTTGTTTTCCCCTGTGGGTTTTAAAGGGAATCTATCACTGCTGGAAATATGTCTATTCTTTCCTGTGGGCTTAAGCTAATGGAAGGTTTGAGTTTTGCCGTGACTGGTTAGACAGTTGGACCCCTTCGCAACTTGCACCAACCTTTTTGCTATTTTGGTGGTACTCGCGGTGGGGCCCTGGTTTTACAGGGAAGCCACCAGGCAAATCGCCATGTTGAGTCCCCCAAAATGGACCCACCCATTTGCTGTGAGATAAACCCGTCCATGTTTGCCAGAAGCCCCTGGCGCTTTTGTCGGAACCGAGGATGCGCAGGCGGCCAAGACGCGGACGGCCCATCAGCACAAGGGACTCGACTTGGAGCTGGCCGCTGGGCAAAGTGCCGTCGCGTTCGGGGGAGGCATGTGGGACCGGGCAACCAAAAACAGATCAGCTGATGTAGGGGGATCTCCTGGTAAAGCAGGCAGTTTTTGGTTTCATCTTTTGAGGAGCCCTGTTGAAGAGCGTGCTTCAACTAGTTTTTGGGTTGCTTCCTTGTAAGCGATTGAACTGTTCCCCAAAGCAGTTCTCCCAGATGTTCGATTCTATTTGTGCGCGATCTGTTGGTGAAGCAACAGTCCCCCAAACCCATCAAACTAATGCCTATCTTGACCAATCGGACAATTCCAGACGACACATTCCTCCTCGATGGCCAGCCTTGGCCTTGATTGCTCCATTGTCCCGTGCAGTTTCCTTTTCCCTTTCGCTCCCCCCCTCCCCCGGGCCACGTGAGGACGGCGCCCGTCGGCGGATCGCGGACGCGGAGAGGCAGGCGGCACGCGCTGAAGGCGCATCTTCGGGTCAGGGGTCGCGGGCAGGGTATCCCCACCCCTTTTCTGCCAATGGGTATTTCTGGGTAATGATAGCGACGTCAACTAGGGTTGCGACGTCACCCATGAGTCATGAGGAAGATTCCTTTGATAAGGTTCCCACATTTCTCGGTGGGTTGTTCCACTTTGCTCAGACATTTAAGGGTTGACTCACTTCCTTGAGCGCCTGGACGCCTTTTTGTTTACAATACTGGGGGTTTGGGCCACAAAAAGTGGCAAGCAGACATTTTTTTTTGACAAGCATAAGGTTAAACTTGTTTTCGCACCGTGTGGGTGCCAGTGTGGGTGCTGGGAGAGGCAGCGGCAATGTACCTTTCAAATGGTATTTCTGTGAGTGACACAAGAAACCTTGAAAACGCGGAAATTCGACCGATATTGTGGGGGCCTCAAAAAATGGAATTGGGGAAGACGGCCGAGTCTGCAGCAATGAAACGAGCGAGCTCACCCATGATGAGGCATCAAGAAGCGGGTCCCCAATAACTTCCCTGCCGACAAACCTTACAAGGGTATCGCAGCAAGGGCCCATGTCCCACATGCCAACTGCAGGAATTGTGCGGAGCTCACCTGAAAGCAACACTAGCTCACCCATGATGAATATCCCTTGCTCGGTTTTCCTTATTTACGGTTTAGGGATCATTCACGGTAATTTGGTCAGAGGTTTCCACAAAAAAGTCTCACACTCTTACACCTCCGCCTTCCTTCTTCCGACCCTTCACCTTCCTTTCTCTGACGCCTCACCTTCATTTTTCCGATTTTTGGGAGGTGTTCCCTTTTGTGAGGCGGGTGCTTCGCACCTTCCTGGCTTTTTCTCCACCAGGCGAGCGCCTGGAGGCGGAGCAGCGGGCGCTGGAGCTGCAGAAGCAGAACCAGCGCCTGCAGAAGCTGGCGACCACCGCCTTCGCCGAGAAGCGCCCCTCGGCCAAGCGCCGCGCAGTCACGGGGCTCCACTCGGGGGGGTCCTCGTTGCGGCGGTTGTGGCGGTTGGTGTTCTTCCAGGGGTCCTTTGTTTTTTTTTTTTTGTGCTTGGTGGTGCCTTCAAGGGGTCCCTCTTTTTTTTGGTGCTTGGTGGTTGGCAGCGTGTTGGGGCGTTAAACGCCTCGGGGCGTACACCCGCGACAGCCTGCTGATAGATCCCACGGTCAGCATTCAGGTGCAAGGGCGGTTTCAGGTATGAGTTGCGGAGGCATTTCGGCCGCTTGTATAAGTGGTTTAGGTGTTCCTGTATGGCGAGAAAGGCATATACCCCTTGTGCGTGGTATTTCTCAACTCCGTGATCTCCGACATCCATCTAACGTTCCCTGGGTCCATCTTCCATGGACCCACCGGGACATTTTCCTTTTTGAAGGGAAAGGCATCCTTTACAATGTGGATGCCTGAAAGTGCCCAACGGTTTGCCAAATGGGTGGAGGGTGGGTCCAGGGCCCGAAAAAAAAATCGAGGTGACTTTGAGGTCCCCGGCCGAGCCTCCATTTGCGCCACGGCGCGGGCGGACGCGCTGGTGGAGGCGGGTGGGGAGTTGGCTTTTTCGCAACTTCCCGAGCTTTTCAGCTGGGAAGACAGAGCTGGAAGACCGGGTTTGGGGCCCGGTTCGGGTAGTTTGTGGCTGGGCGGTTTCCTTTGCGCGGAACTCTGTCAGGCAGGGGTGCACTATGCCGGGCTCAGGGACCACAGCCTCTCCACGTCTTCAGGGGAGGCCGGGAGAGTCCAACGACTTGCCGGGGTTTGGGGGCAGAAAAGGGCCTGGGCCCTATGGACTCTTGGTTGTGCTGAAGCTGAGGATCGGAAGGTGTGGTCGTCCACTTCAATGATTGGAAATAAGGCACTATTCTCCAATGCCGACTTCAACGGGTCATCAAGCCCTTTTTGTGGCCGGTTTTGGTGGTTTGAAGTTTCGGAATCCAGGCAAATCCGCGGTATTTGCGGTGTCTTGTTTTGGTTCCGTTTGGCGCAAGCTCTGCAGGTTAACCTTGGGGAAAGTGAGGCTTTAATCTGACCCCCTCCCCCCCAAAAAAATAAAATAAAATACAGAAAACAAATCAAACAACAAAACAGTCCAAAAAGAAGCGAAAAAAAAGCAAGCCACCGAACAGGTCAGAGACCCCCCAAACCTTGCCTTGGGAGGCCGAAGACCTCTTCCCTCACCGTGGGGTCAAGGCGCGAGCTTTTCGCTGGGAATGGGTTGCCGCGGTTTGGCCAAGCTCAGTTCGACCGTTGTGAGCATGCATATTTCCCGCCAATCTAGTGCCCTTCCCTTCCCAAGTTGCAGCCCTCCTTCTTGACACGTACGAAAATGCACGTGGCGGCCACCCTCCAGCCCGGCGGCCTTTTTGGAGTAACCTTTCAGGATTCGTTTGGAGGACCGCACTGCTCCATGGCACCCCCACAAACCTACCTCCGACTACAAGGTGGTGCGCCAGTGGGCATGGATGAAGCCCTACGAAAGCTGGACCAACTACCAACTCCTGCCGATTGGCAGGGATTTTGTCCACCCACAGTATGAAGCACTTCGCGCCGAGATTCAATTTGTGACGATCCATTTGTTACAACCAATGTGTTAGACTCCGCCCAGCCTCTCCCGAAGCGGAGGCCACGCTGCTCCGCAACGGTGCCTTTGCAGAGGCCAAGGCAGAGAGGGCCGCAGGACGGGCAGCGAGAGGGAGGTGGGAGGCGGAACTGGGCAGAATTTCAGCAAGTTCTTTTGTTTTGGGACTGGCTCCCTTGCAGGCCCCCTGGCAATGAACATGTTACAGGGTTCTGGAAAGTACTTTGTTTCTTTTCTTGTTTTTTTGGGAAGGTTGGGTGGGTGGGGTGGTTGCCCTTGAAAATGCTAGGCATTTTGCGCGCACAACATCTACCATCAGGTGGCCCGGTCCCTCTTGGGCTTTGCGTAAATTCCACGGTCCCACCAGCTGTGGGAATTACAAGGGGCACCGGATCCAGCAGGGTCGCTGGATTGCTCCTGGAAAGTTGTAATTGCTAGGGAGATGCCAAGCAAACTGCCAGTTTTGGGGCCCCTGAAAAAACCGAATTCTGCGGCCATCAAATATTGGAATCCTCAAAAACAAGATGCCACTCTATATGAGGACCCAGTACCCTTAAGGTCACAAATCTGGGGTCACCGT